GTCAGTGAAAATAAAAGAACCAACCATCTGAGTTAATCTTTCTTTCTCTGGGGGCACCCGGGTGGCTGAGTCGTTAAGCGTCTGTCTTTGGTTCAGGTCGCGTGATCCCGGGATCCTGGGATGGAGCCCCCATGGGGCTCCCTACTCGGTGGGAAGCCTGCTTCTCTCTCTCCCACTTCCCTTGCTTGTGTTCCCTCTCTCGCTGTGCGTCTCTGTCAAATAAATAAATAAAATATTTAAAAAAAATATTTCTTTCTCTGAAAAAAGCAGAACACAAAGACATATTCACTGTGATGTCATTGTATATAGTATAAAAGTCAGAAAATGTATTCGGGGACTTATACAAAGGCAGTAACATAAAGATGAACAAGGGAATATATACTTATATGGACAATAAATTAGTCTCCACTTGGGGCTTGCAAGTAACACTTGTGGGTACAGACTATATTATAGGGCATTTAATAAATTGTGATGGGCCTGGATGGTACGGGCTGATCTCTTTATTGACTTTTTTTTTTTTTAGATTTTATTTATTAATTTGAGAGAGAATGAGGGAGAGGAAGCTTGAGAGGGGAGAGGTCAGAGGGAGAAGCAGACTCCCTGCTGAGCAGAGAGCCTGATGCGGGACTCAATCCCAGGACTCCAGGACTATGACCCAAGGTGAAGGCAGGTGCCTAACCAACTGAGTCATCCAGGAGCCCTTTTTATTGACTTTTAGCTGTATGTTTACATTTTCATATACTTTTGGGGAGCCATATTTCCCAATTAAAAAAAAATTTTAAGAAGAAAAATCAGTATATAAAGAGCCATGCCTCTATATAGCTCTGTCTTATTCCCAAGAAAACATGAGATAAAAGCTTATTTTGTTCTTTCCTTTAGACCAGAGCCCAGCAAAGTACAGCCTGTGGCACAGGTCAGGCCTCTAAATTAAGAATGGTTTTACATTTTTAAATGGTTGGGGAAAAAAGTAACCAAAAGAAGAAGATTTTGTGATATGTGAAATTACATGAAATTCAAATTTCAGTGTCTATAAATAAAGTTCACATCCATTTGTTTACGTGTTGCCTGTGGCTGCCTTGTGCTATAACGATCTGGGCAGGGAAGACAGGGACAATGTGGCCTGTGAAGCCTAAAATGCTTAGTTCTTGGCTCTTAATGGAAAAAGTCTGCTGACCCAGTGTAGACCCAGAATCTTTCTCAGTCCTCAGCCTAGAGGAGATGCTCAAGAAGATATATCTGATTAACAACAGCACAGTCTCAAAAGCCAGAATAACTTATTAAAAGCTTGATATTTCATATATGTACTATAGTAGACAGAAGAATGGCCCCCAACGATATGTATGTTCTAATGTCCAGAGCCTATGACTAATGTTATCCTATTAGCAAAGGGGAATTAAGGTCACAGATGGAATTAAAGTTGCTAATCAGCTGAGCCTGAGATGGGAGATGATCTTGGGCTATTTGGATGGATTTGATGTAGTCAAAAGGTCCTTATAAATGGAAGAGGAAGGACTCTAACAGAAGCGTAAGAGTCAGAGGAATGTGATGTGAGAATTCAACCACTGCTGCTGGTTTTGAAGGAGGGGAAAGGGCCATGAGTCAAGGAACGCAGGTGGCCTCTAAAAGCTGGAGAAGGCAAGAACATGAATTTTCCCTAGAGCTTCCAGGAAAGAAGATAGCACCATAGACACGTTGATTTTAGCCCAGTGAGGCCCATTTTGGACTTCTGACTGCCAGATATGTGAGATGATAAATTCAGGTTGTTTAAAGCCACCATATTTGTGACAACTTGTAACAGCAACAACAGGAAACTAACACAGGCACTAAACCCTGAACTTGACAATGAAAACACCTGCTTTTAAACTCAAAAGAAGCTGTTTACATCAGAAAGTTCCCTTACCTTCTGTGCTTCATATGAAAGGGAGATGAAAAGCATTTATTCGTGGAGTGGTGATGATAAACAAACATAGATTAAACAGAAAACTCACATAATAAAGAAAATGGCTAAACTCCTATCTAATAACATTGTCTACAAATACATTAAGCAAGAATTGATAAAGCTCTTAAGACTTTGATAATCTACTTCTCTAGTGGGATGTTATATGACAATCTTGCTCAGTAAAAGATGGATGAAGAGTCAAAAATGTTATTTGTAAGAGCTCTTTCCCATCTTGCAAGAATGGCAGGCGAAAAAGCTGAGAAGCCGGATACCAAGGAGAAGAAACCTGAAGCCAAGAAGGCTGATGGTGGTGGCAAGGCTAAGAAGGGTAACCAGAAGGCTAAAACCCCGAAGAAGGGGAAGCCCCACCTCAGCCGAAACCCTGTCCTAGTCAGAGGAATTGGCAGATACTCCCGATCGCCTATGTATTCCAGAAAGGCCATGTACAAGAGGAAGTATTCGGCAGCTAAATGCAGGGTTGAAAAGAAAAAGAAGGAGAAGGTTCTTGCTACCGTCACGAAACCAGTTGGGGTGACAAGAACGGTGGTACCCGAGTGGTGAAACTTTGCAAAATGCCTAGGTATTATCCTACTGAAGACGTGCCACGAAAGCTGTTGAGCCACGGCAAAAAACCTTTCAGTCAGCATGTGAGAAACTTGCGAGCTAGCATCACCCCTGGGACCATTTTGATCATCCTCACTGGACGCCAGAGGCAAGAGGGTAGCTTTCCTGAAGCAGCTGAGCAGTGGCTTGCTACTTGTGACTGGACCTCTGTCCCTCCATCGAGTTCCTCTGCGTAGAACACACCAAAAATTCGTCATTGCCACTTCTACCCAAATTGATATCAGCAGCGTGAAAATCCCCAAACATCTCACTAATGCTTATTTCAAGAAGAAGTTGCGTAAGCCCAGACACCCAGAGGGTGAGATCTTCGACACCGAGAAAGAGAAATATGAGATTACAGAGCAGCGCAAGGTTGATCAGAAAGCTGTGGACTCACAAATTCTGCCAAAAATCAAGGCTGTTCCTCAGCTTCAGGGCTACCTCCGCTCTGTGTTTTCTCTCACAAATGGAGTTTACCCTCACAAATTGGTGTTCTAAATTTCTTACAAAGAACCTCATTAAATAACTGATCCCCCCCAAATTTTTTTATTTGTAAGAGAATGTAAAACACTCAAGGAGCTTGACCAATCAGACGTGTACCGGACCCTGATTCCACCCAACACCAGTGAAAATCAGTGTTTTGAAACACACAAGAAGCAGTTTTTAAAACACTGGCCCTACACTAGTTTTATCATTTAACTCTTGAGTTATAAAATGCTTCTTACTCAAACTAGGGGATCACCTCACATAATAAGTTTAGAAATGAAACCTGTTGCAGCCACAGACACCCAAAAACATGCTACAGGGGAGTGGGGGCTCTTGTGTTTTGAGGGTTGTGTTACTGAGGCTACAACCTCCATCCCTATGATCCTCAAGTTGCTTGTGCTAATTCAGTGAACTTCATCCAACTTCCAGAGAGTAACTGGGAAAGAGAGCAAAGGGAACTTAAGTTAAGAGAAAAAGAATGACAAACACTCCCCTCTTTCCAACAGCTTTCTAGGCATCCAAGCCAATGAATTCTGTCAAAGATGTAAGCTCTACGTACCATCAGTTATGAGAAAAAGTAGAAAATGCACTTAAAAACCTTCAACAGGGGCGCCTGGGTGGCTCAGTGGGTTAAACCTCTGCCTTTGGCTCAGGTCATGATCCCAGGGTCCTGGGCTCGAGCCCCTGCTCAGCGGGGAGCCTGCTTCCTCCTCTCTCTGCCTGCTTGTGATCTCTGTCAAATAAATAAATAAAATCTTTAAAAAAAATAAAAAAAAATAAAAACCTTCAACAGTGCTAACTCTGGAAAAACAAGTCTATGTACCCTTAGTAAAGAGGATGAGAAAATGGTCAGATAATTGAGAGAATTAGCTGCAGGAGATTGAAACGATCATCAGAACACGTGTCTCACATCAACATAACGAAGACCACATCCTCTGACCATAAAGCAGTCAAATCATGACCAGTAAAAGCCAACTGACCAAAAAAAGCCTTATCATGGAGCACACTACACCCCAATCTGAATTAAATGAGGTTTAAACAGATGTTCATGTTGGAGAGACCATCTGGATGTAAATTCTAACAAATCTGCTCCATACTGAAATTCACATGGCAGAGTTGCAAGGGCACATAGGGGGATTTTCATCATCTTGTAGGATTTTATTAGAGAAGAAAAACTGGTGAATCACAAATTTTGGTCCCAGTTGAAGGATGAAACAATGTAACAGCAGCAATCTTAACATTTACTGTGTTTCTCTCCAACTTTGTACTCATCTTACAGAAGGCTTTCTTCTATCTATTACAATCACAGTACCTCTGGCTGTAACTTAAGGAGTAAGTGTTCAAAGGGGTCTTTCCCACATTCCTTACTCTGCAGTGTGAGTTCTTACAGGGATAATGTTGGGATTACGTTGAGACAATGTTGAAGGCTTTCCCACATTCCTTAGATTCATGGCATTTCTCTCCTGTGAGAAGAAATGTCTATTGAAGATGAAAGAAGGGGGCGCCTGGGTGGCTCAGTCCATTAAGCATGGGACTCTTGATCTCAGCTCAGGTCTTGATCTCAGGGTCGTGAGTTCAAGCCCCATGTTGGACTCCATGCTGGGCACAGAGTCTGCTTAAAAAAAATATTACTAGTTAATAAAAAACGAAAAAGTCATAAAGCTGGAAGGCGAAAAATCTTTCTAGATCTTACCTTCACAAGATGTGAATACGTAAATGTGTGAATTCTCACATTTTCATCCTTCAGGGAAGACTTGAGTTCCCTTAACATGTCCTTATGTGCTTGGTATTTTGAGAAAATGAATGAAGCTTTTCTCACATTTCTTTTATTTACAGGACCTCTCAACTGTGAATTTTAATTTTTATCTATTTATTTTTAAAGCTCATTTATTTATTTAAACAATCTTTATGCCCGACGTGGGGCTCAGACTCACAACCCCGAGATCAAGAGTCGCACACTCTCCCCATTGAGCTGACCAGGCATCCCTCAACTGTGAATTTTCAGATGGTTTTTAAATCTGTGAGAATTGGTGAAGGCTTTCCCACATTCCTCACATTTATAGGGCTTCTTCCTAATGTGCTTTTTTAAGTGTTTGTTAAGGTGTAAGGTATATCTAAAGGCTTTCCCACAGGTCTTGCATTCATAAGGTTTCTCTCCGGTGTGAATTTCCATGTGTTTCATAAGGAATGACAGATGCACGTAACTTTTCCTACAATCTTGACATATATATCTCCCCTCTCTGGTCTTAGTCTTCCTGTGTGAGTCAGAATTTGCAATATGGACAGAGGTTTTCTCACCTTGATTCTTCTCATGATTTGCCTCTGCCGTATCGAGTTGCCTCTGCACATCATGGGTTGAGCTATTTTGGAAGGTGATTTCACATGGATTAGACTCGTAAGTCTTCTCCTTCATGGGAGTCTTGCATAACCTAAGGGAAATGTCTTCCTCAAAGGTTTTTCCAAATGGATCCCATTCATGGATGTCCACCCCCCTGCAGACATTATTATATGTCTGAAGCACATTGTTCTGACGGTCAGTCCATATTTTGGACTCTGGCTCCATCTGATGTCCTACAGATGGGGTCGTCTCAACACTCTGCTGCAAGACTCTATCATTTTTGTTGTTTCTGTAGATCTTTTGATGACTGGTTAGGACAAGATTTTGTTTCAGAATATCTGAGCCATGTTTCTGGATACGGTTTCCTGTAGAATCTCTCCATGAGCTAGGCAGAGAGTCGTCCCTCATATCATGAGAGTCATGGATTCTAACCGGAGACTCATCTTTATCGTGTACAGTGGCAACTTGCTTCAACTTTTGCTCCCTTTGCATGAGTGGTTCATCTGTTTTGTGGCATTTCCAGTCTTCTCCCAATTGGGACGGCCGGCAAGCATGGCTCACAGTGCACACTCTCTTTGCTTCAACAGGTGTCTTTTTAGCAAGAATGTCCGGCTGAGGGGTTGAGTTTTTGGTTTGATGTTGCGTTAGCAAATCTGAAATAAAGGGACACAAAAGTTAAGTTCTTTGTTGACAGTTAAGGTGGGTTAGAGATGCTAAAACAGGCAAATGCCCGTGTGGGTTTCTTTTCAAACATTCACTCAACGTATGTGAGGGGGATGTGAAAGGGAAGGAAGACCAAGCAAGCAAAGCAGAAAGACATCAGGGATTTGGGCCGCATCAGGAGCTTGACGGTGGTGATGATGGGTTCTGTGGGAATTAAGAGCGTAATCAGGAATGCCACGTGGGCAAGAATGGGACAAAGAGTCTGTCATGGACTGAATTTGTGTCTCTTACAAAACCCTATGTTGAAGCCCTAACTACCGCCATGGGATGGTATTTGCAGGTGGGGCCTCTGGGAGTAATGGGGTTGAGATGAGCTAGGACAGTGGGGCCCCCATGATGGGACTAGCGTCCTTACAAGAGCCGGGGAACAGAACTCACTGTCTCTCCACCATGTGAGGACACAATGAGAAGGTGGCCATCTGCAAACCAGGGAGAGAGACCTCACTGGGAACGAACCTGCTGGCTCCTTGATCTGGAACTTCCCAGCCTCCAGAATGTGAGAGAAATGTCTATGTGTAAGTCATCCAAGCTGTGGTGTTCTGTCATAGCAGCCCTAACAGACCAAGACAGAGTCCATGTGTAATTTTAAAGATGAAGGGGCAGGGCCCCTGGGTGGCTCAGTCGGTTAAGCATCTGCCTTCACCTCAGGTCATGATCCTGGGTCCTGAGCTCGAGCCCCACATTGGTTTCCCTGCTCAGCGGGGAGTCTGCTTCTCCCTCTCTCTCTGCCTCTCCCCAGATTGTGCACTCTCTCTCAAATAAGTAAATAAAATCTTAAAAATTAAAAAAAAATTGCAATTAAATTCACTTAATATAAAAGTAACCATTTTAAAATGTACCCTTCATTGGCATCAAGGACATTGGCCATGTGGTGCAAAGAGCAACTCTACTCAGTTCCAGGACATCTCCATCACCCCAAAAGGAAGGAGAACTACTAGACCATGAAGCGGCCACTCCCTGTTCTTCCCTCCAGCCCTTGGTAACCAGGAACTGGCTTTCTGTTTCTATAGATTTGCCTATGCTAAATATTTCATATAAATGAAATCAGGTAATGCATTGTCTTTCGTGTCTGCCTTTTTTCACTTAACATGATGCTGCGTTTGAGGTTCGTCCATATTGCAACCTGTTTACCATATTTCATTTGTACATTCATCTGTTGATGGACAGTTGGTTGATTCCCACATTGTGGCTGCTGTGGGGTGTGCTGCTATGAACACACCTGTATCTGTTGGAACATCTGCTTTCAACCCCTTGGGCAGATACTAAGGAATGGAATTACTGGGTCACACAGTAATTCTACATTTAACTTTCTGAGGAGCCACAGCTGTTTTGCACATGGATGAAACGGATTCTTCATCAGCATTTCCACATTGTAAAATCCTTCCTCGTAAGGATTCATGTCTGCCCAGCAGGCAGGTGCACAAGGTAAAATTCCCCCGCACCATTCCCAGACCAGCTTCTTGCTCCGAGTGGGAGACCAGACTCAGTTTGCCTAGTTGAGATGCCCGGTCACGGGAAACGCAACAGTGCATGACTCAAGAGAGTAGGGCCAGGGCTTACCACGAAATAGGGGTGCACATTGTGGTCTGCAGGGTTCTGGAGCTAAGTAAGTATGAGTAGGGAGCAACAAAGTGGTCCCTCTGTTTTCCTCATGAATGCACTGAAATGCTCTGTTCTTCATGTTCATCCACCCAAGGACCTCCCGAGGGCTGTTAATCAGGAAGAGAATAAAAATGTAATGCAATGGACAGATTTCCTGTCTCATGGGGTGAACTCTAGTCCACCCCTTGGGGGGCAGTGGCCCAGTCTTGGTTATTCAGCAAGTCCCATCCCATTTCTCAGCACAGCTCTGGGAACCCAGCAAGGGGTCTGACTCGCATTTGTCCTGGCCGTGAACATGTCTGGGAGGGTGGGATGCTCACCCAGAGAGGCCAGGTTCCTGCAGTTTTCCAGCATCACGTCTCTATAGAGAATTCTTTGCCCGGAGTCCAGGAGGGCCCACTCCTCCCTGGTGAAATTCACGGCCACGTCTGTGAAGGTCACAGGGTCCTAGAACAACACACCCATTTGGGGGCACCGTTAAGAGCTGAAATGCATCCCCTCCCAAGATATGCCAATGTCCTAACCCCAAGGACCTGTGAATGGGACAAGATTTGGAAAGAAGGTGGTTTGAAGATGTGAAAGAGGTACCATGAGGGGGCACCTGGGTGGCTCAGTCAGTGGAATGTGTGACTCTTGATCTTGGGGTTGGGGTTTGGAGCCCCACATTGGGTGTAGAGGTTGCTTAAAATCTTTAAATAGAGGGGGAAAAAAGCTTAGCAGTACAAAAGATCTGTCTAACCATTTGCTGTTAAATCATGGAAAGTGTGAACACGCATAATACAGGGAAAAGGAAATGCAATCAAGCCTTGACCCACCATCCACCTGTTTCCACCCATCCCCACCTCTTCCCATCCCCCTTCACTGCCCTTCTCCTATCACATTATTGTCAACAAAACTCCAGCTATCATAGCATTGCATCCTTAAATATGTGCATTTCCTATCTCTAAAGCATGAGGAATCTTTTAAAATGTGGCCACAAGGGCACCTGGGTGGCTCAGTGGGTTGAGCCTCTGCCTTCGACTTGGGTCATGGTCGCAGAGTCCTGGGATCCAGCCCACATCGGGCTCTCTGCTCGGCGGGGAACCTGCTTCTCCCTCTGCCTGTGTCTCTGCCTACTTGTGATCTCTCTCTCTCCCTCTGTCAAGTAAATAAATAAATAAATAAATATCGGTCTCCGAAGACCCCCATACGATATTCGGTCACTTGAGCCTTTTAAAATCTGTAACACTAGCTGCAGAAGAGTGCACAATGAGCTCCTTTTCTCATTTTCATGAATTAAAGGAAAAATAAGGAACCTTGAAAAGACAGGCAAGGATCTACAGAAGTGGCTGCTTCCGGGCAGCCAGGAGCCTCGAACAGAGCGAGCCAGGGCAGACGGAGGAAGCCTTCAAGGTCTACCCCAACCAACCTGCAATTTTTTAAACACACTGATCTATTATTACATTCCAGAAATACATTATCAAGCGAAACACAACCTACAATTAAATAATTTACAATGCAATTGATGAGGTTGGCTTTTTTTTTTTTTTAAACCTTGAAGTCATCTTTTCCAACTAAAATAAAAATTCCTTCCACTGGAGAGATTTAATTAATGGCTTTCATATTTCAAAATTCCCTAGGGGTGCAAACGATGTGCCAGATGTCAGAGTACCCACATCTTCTTAAATACACTGATTCTGGGGGGCGTGGGTGGCTCAGTCGGTTAAGCGTTTGACTTTGGCTCAGGTCATGATCCTGGGGTCCTGGATCGAGCCCCACATCGGGACTCCCTGCTGGGTGGGGGGAGCCTGCTTCTCCCTCTGCCTCTGTCGCTCCCCCTGCTTGTGCTCTCTCTGTCTCTCTCTCAATCTCTCCCATAAATAAAGAAAGAAAATCTTTAAAAAATATATACCGAATCCATTTCTTAAGAAACAGACATCCATCCTACTTCGGCTTCAAAATGTCAAACATTTATGTGGGGTCCCCAAGATCCCCTCGCATTCACTACTCCAGGGTTCACGCGAACTCGGGTTTTCACAAAACAAACAGAAACACGACCCTCAGTATGACAAAGTTACTAAGAGTCCGGGCAAGCTGGCGATTATAGGCAGCCCCGCCACCGTGAACACAAGGCTGCAAACCCGCCCTACCACTCATCAGGTGAAGAGATCAGACCCGGAGGAAACCAGCAGCAAAGTCAAAAGGACTCTCCCCCGCCCCCCACACTTACTTGTTTGCTAACTCACCGATAAACTTTGTTCCCTAAAAATCACAGCCCTCAAAAATGCTGCTGTTTGACATCCTATCAGTAAGAAAAGTACATCCCACTCCTGCCTGGGGGGAGTCCTGAGTCACATGGACCGGGAGGCAGCCTCCAATGGCAGCTCTGGGCAGACCTTCAGATAAGGGGCTTGGGACACAACATTCCACCTCTATGTGACCTTGTAGTTTCCAAGGGACAGTCCGGTCCAGATCATTCCTTTGCACGCAGTTCAGCCTGAGCCTATCTAAGCCAGCATGCGGTTACATTTACCCTGAATTCCATCCTCCCCCCTTCCTCCCATCTCCCTCCCCGCCCTGCACCTCTTGATCCAGTAAGGAATGAATGCCTCCATCCCGTCATTTGCAAGGTTCCTCTCTGGGGTGGTTCTCTCTCTGTCCTTGTAACAAACCCATGTAACTGGGGCTCCCGGAGAGTCCCTGGTGATCTCAGACACCTTGGGGTTTGGAACGGTGGGAAAAGCAACAAACAAAACCAAAAGAGAATTCATAGTTCTGGCTGGGCTCAGGTAAGCAGGTAGAAGGAAAACATCCACATCGGGTGATGAAACACGTTCCCACCGCTGTCCGGAGCTTCCCTGGAAACAGACCTTCCTGGAGTCGGTGAAGGACAAACAGGCAACTTGTTGAGACCAGAGGGTTTGATCCTGACCACTCCCCTGGAACTCCTTTCACCTTGGCCTTTTATAAATGCCCTCAACCGAGACCTCAGTTCCCCAAAAAGGAAGAACTGCTCCCGGACCCTACTCAAATCCGGCAACCCTTTCCCCAGAAGAGAACCCCAATGGCCATCCCCTCGATCTGATTGTGCCCAGAATTTTTCAGCTCGCCCTAATCACAACGGACTCCAAGACTTACATGGATCCAAACAGCAACCCTCCCCACCCCACCCCGCCCCGCTGCAGCCCCACCTGCGCCGCAGGCTGGTGTCCCCCAGCTCCGGCCAGGGAGTGCCCCCTGGGGCAAGGTGAAAGGCGCATTTAGGGCTCGACGCGCGGGCCACTCTCGGCCTCTTCTCTCCTCCGGGACGGAGAGAATCAGGCTTCCCCGGACAACAGCTCCCTACTCCCCGGAACCCGACCCGGTTCCCCCAGCAGTGTGGACTCCGCGACAACCGCGCACACTCACCATCTCAACAACACCGGCTTCGGGACCGGCCTGCGGGCAGCGCAGCCTAAGGGCTCGTTCCCTGTGCGAGGTAGAGGGTTGCAGGGCTGCGGACAGGAGGAGTGGGACTGTAAAAATAACTAAAGAAACAAATAAAACAAAACGACGCCCCCCGCCCCCCAAGGAAGGATCGACGACAGAGACTCGTCCTGCCCAGGCCCTTTGTACCTGCTTCCGGACCCCCCTCCTCAAAATGGATGGTTTGAGGGATTGGGTAGGGGCAGGGGGAGGAGGAGCCACAGGAAGGGGATCCCGGGACCTGCACCCCTGCCGGGCCCTGGGACTCCCCCCTTCCACCCCGGGGTCCGCAGAACTTTCTCCCCAGCCACTTCTGGGCCTTGGGGGCGCCCGGAAATGAGAACCACTTCCTAGCCAAAGGAGGACTTCTCAGAGCTGGAAAAGGACAGTGTGGTGGAAGGTCCCCGGTTTCCCTCTTGGGCCCCCCTCCCTCTTTTCCTTTTGCAACCTTCCCCACCCGGTGAGCGCTGGCTGACAGATAACAACAAGGTTTGCGCGAACAGTCCTCCGAAAATACTATTCTGACCGTTACTGGGATTGAACCAGCGACCCTCCGGCGAGGAGCAGGAGCGGCCTCCGCTCCCAAATTCCAGCGAAAGAAGACAACCGCCTAAAATTCAGCAGGCGAGAGTCGCGACCCAGCTCCCCTCGCTGCTGTCAAACCGCCTGGATCCGGAGTCTTCAGGCGCCCTGCGAAACCCTTCGGTGGGATAAAGCGTTTAACCTCAATTGGAGAATTTATTCTGGATGGGCCCCGACAAGACCTTATTTACATGCCCCCTCCTCCCGGCACCCTGTCACCTCCCCTCCACCCTCCGGTCCTCGCCCTCCGCCCCTCCCCCAAAGACTGAGGCCAGCCCAGCCCGTTCCTCTGACTCTAGGAAAGAAGGGCAGGGAGCCACAAAAAGTCCATTAAATCAATTAAATTTGTCTTAAATGTCTCATTTCTAGTCATGCCATTCTACTCTAAAGCTTTCACTGTCTAATACTAATATATACCTAAACTCCTAAACTCATTTTTCAAAAAATAATCTCTACGCCCAAGGTGGGGCTCGAATTCACAACCCCCCCCCCCCAAGGCCAGATCAAGAGAGATCAACAGTCCCACGCGCTCCGCTGACTGAGCCAGCTGGGTACCCCCTAAAGTCGTTTTTTTAAAAAAATACTTCATTATTTTTAAAGCAGTATTAGGTTTACAATAAAACTTAAGCGGTACAGAGATTTCCTGTATCTCCCCGGCCCCAAACATGGTCTCCTTCCTTATCAACATTACTCTCCAGGATGCCTTTTTTTTTTTTTTTTTTTAACCAGAGATGAACTTACATACAGTAATCAGCCAAAGCCCATAGTTTGCCTTGGGGTTCACTCTCGGCAGTGTACACTCTATGGATTTGGACAAATGTATGATGACATTTATCCATCACTGTAAATTCACACGGAGTATTTTCACTGTCCTAAGAATCCTCTGCGCTGTCTCTTCCTCTCTCTCCCTCTACCCCCACCTACACTACAATCGGTTTCTGTTGTGATAAAATATACATAACACATGAACCCTTGCACTGTTTTAAGGGTCTAGGTCAGTGGCATTAAGCCCATTCCCACCGTTGGGCAATCATCCCCACTGTCTGACTGCACAAAGTTTTTCTCTTTCCAAACGAAACGTCTGTATCTATTAAACACTAAATCCTGCCAGTTGCAAGAAAACCGACCTTTATTCACCATAGTCTGGGAAGGGGTCTTTCCGATTGCTCTGAAGAGGTCCCCCAAAGCTTGTTAGCTGCAGAAGGGAGAGGGGTATCTGCTTGCAAGCATTTCTCTAAGTACTTGAGCATCACAAGGTATAACTTGTTACAGTTGTTAAAATTAAGGTTTACCGATTTCAACCGAGACACAAGAAAGATCCTCAGGTCATCTTAATACATTATGTTTTTTATCTGATTGTTTAAAAGTGTTGCTTGTATGCCTCTGTTTAACTGTTGTTTATTTTTCTGGTTTTGATTCTTCCTTGAGGTCACTTGAGAGGGTCACGGAAGGC